TAGTGCTTCTGGGATTAATCTGAAACCATAGACGGTTCTCTCTGATGCAAAGCCAAGGTGACAACAGAAGACAGGCCAATAATCATGACAGGTAGCCTTTCCTGAGCACTTAACGTGTGCCAAGCCCTGTTCTAACTGATTTACAGGGTTTAGTCCCCTTCAATTCTCATAAATAGTCAATATTATTTCCCTTCCTTCACAGATGAGAAAGCTGAGGCTTTAGGTTAAATTGTGCTAATTAACAATGCTAATAAGGGCAGCAAGGACTCACTCCCTCAACTGCTCAAACTATTCAACATCAACTACCCCATGCAAATAGAGATAGAAGCACTGAAGCCCTGGGTTCTAGTTTTAGCTCTGTCAGATTAACTATGCAAACTCTGGTGGCCTCACCTACCTTACACTTAAGTTAGCTGTCTGTGAGATGGGATTAGTAATAACAGTGTAGCGAGAAGCCAGTAGATGTGAAATCTTTGTGAAAAGTATAAAGCACCATGTAAATGTCAGTTATCGTTATTGCCCCATAGTCATGGTACACATGGGCTGGATCTAAACATTCCCACATGAAGTTAGGTAATAGATATGAAATAATTGCGTTACCCATTGCATGGGTAGAATCACAGGCTGGTTCTAGTATCAGGAGAACAAGGAGGGGAAGCAAGCAAAATTTTTAAAAAGGTGGCCCCTTTGACTATTTTCCGTGTGCCTCAAGATCTGACCACCACTCCTGATATTGCCAGTTGGACACACTGATTCATGCTTTCACACAATAACATTTCCAGCATACTTAACAATATTGAGTCAGCATACTACCTTATTTTCTTAAGATGCCATTTCTAGAGAACGGGTTTAGAGGAAGCAACCCTCTAGGTCTTCCCATTACCCTTAACTCAGTCATGGTTTATCCTCTGCCATCAAATCATATGCCAACTGCTAAAAAAAGAAGGCTCTGGTACCAAAGTCAAACGTGGGAAGTCAGCTGTGTGAGCCATGGGTAAATTTCGTTACCATTCTGCATTTCAGTGAACTACAGCTAATCACATCTGTCCACGTCTCTCAGCAGACTTACGGGAAAAATCAACCAAGAATATGCTAGACCATGAGAGAAATAAAAGAGGAAAGGGGGAGCATGTTGGAAACTAGTGAGTAGGAAAAGAGAAGAGAGATGCAAGAACTGGGTGCTAGAGCTAAGCAGGTTTAGGCTCTGAAATCATCTCCCCATCCAACAACCTTCTGCCCGCTTGAAAACACTTTCATCGTAACAAACTGTGGTGTATCCAGGGTGCTATTTTCTCAATAAAAATAATGATCATTTACTTGCACTAGACAATGTTATAGGTATATTATATTTAATAACTGCATCAGGCAAGTTACTATCACAAACCCATTTTACAGGTGAGGAAACTACAGCAAAGAAGGGTTAGAAACATGTCCAAAGCCCCCAGTTAATAAGTGGCCAAACTGGAATTCAAGCTCAGGCAGTCTGGGTCCAGAATCTGCTCTTATTTCTGTGCTTACTGCTTTCTGACATAGTGTCCATCTAGAGTTTGGGCCAGTTTGTCAAATGATGTCAGTTTTCCAGTCAACTGTCAACTCAACTTGCAAATAAAATGAAAGCCTCTGCTTCTGCTTTGTACAACAACAGAGCCCCAGGAAAGGAGAAACTGGATCAACAGCCATTGCACTTTCTCACATCCATCCCCCCCCTCCGTTTTCCCAGTGCCCCCTCCCCACATCCCCCAGGTGCAGGTGTGGCCCCACCCTAGATTCCTGATTAATCTGGACTGGAGAGTTAGCAGAATGTGAGTAGCCTTAAATTCACCCCTTTGTCTTGCTAACATCCCTCCCAACACCCATCAACAAGTCCATCTCTTCCCCAAGGGCATGGGCTAGGAATGAACTACTACTGCCTGCTAGCTTCTCCCCGGGATGTAACAACCTAGACCTGGCCAATACAAGTTTGCACAAGATACTGGCGCCCCCACCCCGGGTCTTTGACTCTTTCTTGCCATGAGTAAGCTATGGCTACAGCGTGGCCAGGTCTGAGCACTACGACAAAGAGTCTGCAGGGGGGGCTGTAGGGACAGGGCTGCAGACACAAATGCTCAGAAGAGACAGGCAGATACCATAATGGAGCGGATTAAGTCAAGCATGAGAGCAAATGGTCTTCAAGCACCTGATTCTGTCTGCTATGTTTTGTTTTCCCACTTTTGATAGAGTTAAAGATACCTGATTTCTACCATAAGAAAAAAGAAAGTGGTGGGAGTAAACATAATTGCAGAAATTCACACTGTCTCAGTGTCTGAGAATGGTGTGATGACTGTTGCTGTAAGGGAATTCAGACACATACTTTCCAGTTTTTAAAAGAAGCCAGGAAACTAGATTTTTACTAGACGTCTCCTGAGTTAAAGTGTCAGAAACCAAATATCTTCTGGTTTAATTACAGGATAATTAATTACAGACTTTTTAAAATATAGAGTTACTATTACCCAGAGGAAACAGGTGAGTCTATATAATAACTGGAAAAAATTAAAGCTAAGTTATTTCCTCACTCCTTCTCCTATATTTTATGAAAGTCTTGGAATGTTATTTTGAAGGGCTAGAAACATTCTTTTTCTTGACCTCAAGATCTTTAGATCTCTGAACATATTCTTGCTTCCTGCTCTTACTAGCCTTGCTTCTATTAGTCTCCAAGACAACTTAATATATAATTAATTGTACCACTGGGCAGTTGGGAGCAGTCATGAAAGACATCACATTCACTTGATAATTCATAATAGAAATACAGTCCTCTTCAGTTTCTGAACTATCCTGTTTTCTGTATAAATTAATCAGACAAATACAATACTATTAAAATGAACTTAAGGGTGATTATTTGCTCTTCTAATTGATGATATAAAATACAACACTGACGAGCCTGGGGGTTCTTCCTATGATTAACACAGCAGAACTAGCCCTTTATATGACAACGTGAAGATGAATTATACATATATTTGCCCCCCTAGCCTTAGCAGGCATTCATTTCTTCTGCATCCCAGATATTGTGCAAATAAGGTCCATCAGATAAAACTTGGACAATTTCTGAATAAATAACTGATATATATTGTTTGGATGGGACTATTATCTTACTTTGAGAATGTAGTTTGCCCTGTAAGTACACCAACCAAATGTTTATTCCAGGCTTGTACAGTGCTCCATTTAAGACAAATGTCTCATTAATGAGACACTAGCCTCACTGCCAACACTCTGCTGAACTGATTTACTTGAACAATAATCAGAAAGGAGCAAACATATTCCTGCTCCAACCATACCCACCACTACTAAACATTTGCCACAAGTTTCTTCTGCCTTACTAGCATTCAGTTAGCATCTCCTGCTGAGAGAATGAAACACCCTAGAGAGCTTGAGGCCACAACTCAGGCTAAGGCATGAAGGGAAAAGACAGCTCACCCAGCCATCTACACTCACACGATGTGAATTTACAGAGCAGACAGAAGAGCTCTGAATCTGAGTCCCATCCACAACATCTCATGTGAGAGTTCTGTTGTCGTAGTACACTTAAATGCATCGTGGGGCTTATGAATATTGACATTTGCTTTTGGCGAGAAGCTCTCTGTTTAAAGAAATTATTAACGTAGTCCTCATGTCTGCAAACATGGAGGCAAATGAAGAATTAGCACTCAGCTTCCTCCTCCACCCAGTGTAATTTCATATGCTCCCTGTAAAGGATATCTTTCGCTTTCTTTCTCCACAAACTCATATGGCTTCTTAGTCTTATACCTTTTCTTTTCTTTCTCTAGAATAGGCTGCGCCCCCCGGCGGTTGGGAGCTTAAAAAATGAAAAAAAAAAAAAGCCTTTTGCAGATGAGACTTTTAACCTCCTGCAATTTTACTTTTGGGCTGTGTCCAACCCGTTTCCCACGAGCTCGATATACGTAGTCACAAACCTAACCACGCTTCTCCCTTGCGGTCAATTTCCTATTTTCTATTTTAGAAGGGGGGGAAGGCTCAGGACGAAAGAAAAACAGCTTGGCTCTGGCCAGTTGCAGGAGAGCGGCCCCGGTCGTTTGGCTGCAGAAGGAAGGGCAGCTCCCACCACAGGTGCGTGTGGCGCTGTCCATTCCCCGGTGCTGAATTCTACACACCCGGGCATTTCCCGCCAGCTTCAACCCTCAGGATCCGAACAGGCTCCGCCACGGTAGACTAACCTCATTTCCCTTGGGGAGGGGAGAAGGGGGAGAAGGGGGAGGGTGTCATTTAGACGTCTGTTTATTCTCTTCCCACGGAAAAGCATTCTTCCACAAAGAGACCTTGTGCATTTTAAAGGAACGTAATAGCACAGCTTCAGTTCAACACCAAAGTGAAGAGCTCTACTGAAGGGAAAATGGAAAGTTCAGAGTTAATGAAAACTGTTCTTTCTCTCCCCAAATCAACACAATAGCATTTGAGTCCCTAGCCCCCCGCCCTTGTTCATGAATAAAAAAGTATTTTTCTGTTTAAAAAAATCCTGTGATTAATCATTTTTCTGATAAGCACTGTAAAGTGGGAGATACTGGGCTCTGCAATATCTGGAACAGAATTTTAGATATGTTTTACTGAGGTTGAGAAGCACAGAAGAGAAGGAAATAAACTTGTTAACTCAGGTGGTTTGAATGGTTAAAAATACATTTTTTAAAAAAGTATTGCTTTAACACTGTATTCCAGGCGTGCTCCTTTTCTTAGGTAATTTAGATCAGTTTCTGGGGAGTAGAAGCTTCCCTCTGCCCTCCCAGCCTCCATTTGATCTGAAAGACTTAAGAGCCCTGTTCTTCACAGCCGGTGCTGATATCCACAGGGCCATTATAAGAATCCTTTTCCCTCCTTTCCACACACAAGAGATAAGGAAAACGGAAAGAAAGGAGGGGAAGTGTGCTGCACTGCCAGCCTTTGGTTCTTGATGGTTATATTCAAACGGGGCACTTCTCTTTGAGAAGTGAAGGTGTTTCTCACAGCTACAGAATTTAAGATCAGACAGCAACAGAGTTAACTGATCCCAGCAATCTGTTCCTTCCTTTTCTTAATCCCTCCCCGCTTATTTTAGCCGCTTCTCCACCCTGCTGGGAATACCATCCAGATCTTAGTCCAGGTAGATCTGACGTCAAGAGATGGCTTTCGTCGATTTGACGTGTAAACACTCATTTCCATTCCGGCTGGGAAGGGCTGGGGCTCCACTCAGCCGGGCGACCAAAGCGCTGCACTCAGCGCTCGCCGCCGCCCAGCCTCTCCTCGTGTGCCTGCTATCTCCTTGCTGAGCAACCGGGAGCGAGGAGCTAGCTGTCCGGAGCTCGAAGGTGGAAAGGGCGAGTCTTTCTTGCTTTTCTCCTATCTTGCTTCTTTTCCGCTTCTCCTTCCCACTTCTGTGCAAGCAAGTGTGTGAGCCATGGAGCGAAGAGCCTGGACTCTGCAATGTACTGCTTTCGCTCTCTTTTGCACTTGGTGTGCATTGAACAGTGTAAAAGCGAAGAGGCAGTTTGTGAACGAATGGGCGGCGGAGATCCCCGGGGGACCAGAGGCGGCTTCGGCCATAGCCGAGGAGCTGGGCTATGACCTTTTGGGTCAGGTAAGAGTTTGCACTTTCAAGAAACTTTCTGGGGCCCAAGGGGACTGGCGGGACTGGAGCGCGATCTCCCAAATGTGAGCCCCAGGTCGCATTCTCCTGAGCTCGGTGGCAAAGGGCAGGAGCTTCAGATCTCGCCCCTGACGCGCTTGGAGAGAGAGGAGGCTTGCATTATTTATTGTTTGGGCTGGGCGCAGCCAGGCAGAACGAAGCCGCTGCAGCTGGGTAGAGCTTATTCTTGCTGTTGTCCGCTCCGGAATTGAAACCCGTTCCCGCGCGGTTTGGAAGAAAAATCCTTCCACGCTTATTCACCGAACTTGAGATGCATGCAGGCTCTTACCAACCAGGCGCCCCCGGGAGAGGCAGTGCGCTCTGTCCCCTGGGATTCAGCCAGTCTGCGTCAAGAGCCGGCTGTTTCCTTCTTTTCAATATGGCAGCATCAGATCCAAATTCTGATGTAAGGGTCTAAGCAGGCTTGGGGGATGTCGGTGGGCAACCGTTGGGGGCATGCCCAGGGTGTTGGGAGAGCGCCATTGGCCGGGTCGAGGGACCCAGGGGCTGGGGGGGTCCGTGGAGTGGCCTGGGGAGCCGGTGGGACAAGAGGTGGGAAAAATACATAAACCAACTATCCACGCCTCTACCTGGAGCCCCAGGTTTTCATCAGAAACTTGCAAAGTCCTAGCTTCACAACTTTGCTTGGTCAGTCCCCCCTGAAGGGTCAAACTGCAGAACTGACTGGGGAAAGGATTTCTTTCTTTCTTGTTTCTCAGCCAAATGCGTAATAGCTTCCCTTGGGGTTTCAGTTTGTGATGGAAATTGTTGCCTGTTCAAGTGCGAGCCGGGTTTAATAGTTGAGACCGAGGTAGGGGACTTTAAGGCATTGCCAGGGGGGTAGTTGGGGGTGGGGCGCTGCCTAGCTGTGCCATACCGGGGGAACTCCAGGAGGTGAGTTTTAATCTAAGCTTTCCTTTTCCTTGATTTAGAATCAAGCCCTCACCCCTTGCTTGAAAGTTGGTGTGCATTGAAGCGGGGCAGGAGGGAGTTGTGAAACATTTTGGCGCGTGTTTTTTCGGGAGGTGGTGGTAGAGACGCGGCTGAAGTCACAGATGAGTAATCGGCGTGGGCGTCGGCGATTCCGTAGATATAATACGCTGGGGAATACGCCTTCCTTTGCCAGAGGCTTCTTTCTCCAACTTTATGAGCCACAATTGCCTTTGAAATGCCAAGCAGGAAAGTCAATACAGATTGACTTCTCCGTGTCCCAGGAGCAGACCAAGACTTTTGCTTTTGCTCAGACCTTGTTGCGTGCCAGGCTCCGTGTTAGGGGGCTGAGAACTAACAGAAGGAGAAAAAAAAAGAAACTTTCAAAGACTCAAGAATCTGGAGGAGACTGGTTTAGAAACAAATGATTGCAATTGCATGCAATTGGCAGTAATAGAAGTTGTATCCGGTGTCTCAAGATTTGTCGATTGAAGGATTGAAAATGGAAGGGAATTTGGGGAGGGGCGAAAGAAAACAGCATGACGGAGGAAACGTTTGCACAGGGTTTAGGAAGAGTCAAAGGTTGCCAGGAGAACATGATGCGATTTGAGAGGGCACTCCAGGCATAGGAAACAGCTTGTGGAAGACCAGGGAGATACAAAGAAAGCTGCTTAGTATAGTAAGTTGGAAACTGCAAGGAATTGTGGGGAGCTACAGAGAGTGAGCAGTGAGTGGAATTGTACTGTTGTGTACTTTGGGCATCATGGAAATCTGTTGTGTACTATGGTGGGAGAGGGGAACTGGGGGCTTAATCCTATATCCTTTGGATCGCTAAATAGCACTGGCAACCATATGGAAGGAGATTGGAGGAGAGAGCAAAAACATCCCTCTTCCTTTTCTCACTTATTAGCCCCAGGAATACATCCAAAACTGGATCATTCATTATGGGAATTGCCTTTCAAAATCATAAATCCGCAAACTAAAAAACAATATGTCAGTGTTCTTGATAGGATCTAGTGGAAGGATGGCATAGTCACAAGAAACTTTAAAAAATAGTAGGGAAAACCGTCTATATTTACACATGATTTGCATATACTACATTTTTCTCTATCTTTTTCTAGTTAAAATGGCATTACTAACAAATATTTTAAAAATAACAATTCTTCGTAAAAGACTGATAATGCTTTCCTGGGTCTGCTTATTTCTCCCTTGGTTTACACTAATTTAGCATCACTATCTTGAGTTCCTTAAAGCCTCAGGATAAAGCTAGGATTGGGGGTTGGGCAACCAAAAGCAAAGCCAGTTGATAATAGAAATAGAGCTATGCATTGGTGATCTTTTCTTATGGCTACTGTTCTTTCTTCGTCTAAAGCTTAAAACAGATCTACTCCCTAACCACCAAGGTAAAGAATGCAATTCTTCTGAAACAACCCATTGTCAATTGTTTCTCTTAATTAAAAAAAACACAAGGTATCTAGAGAATCTGGAAGCTTCAAATTAGGAAAAATTTTGAATAAAGGGACACTAGCTTAAAAGAATAATGAACATAGTTCTAAATGGACCAAAGGTTTTGCTAGTCACCCAGAAAAGTTTACACCCTCTGAGATAGAGCACCTGTCTTTTATGTGGTGTGCTGACTTTTCCTCCAAAGCCTTAAACTAGTGCAGGGGTCGGCAAACTGTGGCTTGTGAGCCACATACCGCTCTTTGGGTACATTCAGTCTCAAAAGTTTGCCGACCCCTGGAAGAGCCAACCCTGTCCCTCACAACAATTTAAAAATTATTCACGAGCCATAAATATATTTTTATATAATCACCATTATATGAATAATATCCTTTAAAAATTTTATAAATGAAACTATGATAGTTTTATTTTCATTTTCAATTTTACTTCAGAGCCTGTGGCTCGTGAGCCACATGCAGTTTGCTGAGCCCTGGCTGCTCTTCTGTGTCAAAAGTTTGCCAACCCCTGAACTAGTGGAAAGTGAAGTGAGCACTACTAGCTTATAACAATTATCAGAATGGATTCAATGCTTACATTTTATAACAACAACAAATTGTTTTAGCTGAGTGTGGCACTGACCCTATATTGTACCCAAAGTGTTTTCTTGCTTTCCGCAAATTATTGTTTCACAATTATAAATTTGATCAAATAGGTTTTAAAAAAGGAATGTCTACCTACACAATATTGACATGTAGAAAAACAAATGTAGTTCTTCTGAAATGTATGAAACAGAAGCATCACCAGCTGCCAAGTAGAGTGGGAGCCCAAGCGATAATCTCATGAGGCTCATCTCACTCAACACACTGACAAGAGAGGGAAGGCTCTACCTGTACCTTCCTCATGAAGAAAAAAGTGAACTTTAAGTACCAGGAATGGATTTAATAAATGTCTGTATCTAATTTAGTTGGGATTCAACCCATATATACTTCTTTTGGAAAGTGGATTGTTATTTTAATTTTTTCTCTTATAGATTGGATCACTTGAAAATCACTACTTATTCAAACATAAAAACCATCCTCGAAGGTCTCGAAGGAGTGCCCTTCATATCACTAAGAGATTATCTGATGATGATCGTGTAAGTGTTGTGCCTCTGTCTTCGCACCAGTAACCTGACTTATCCGCTTTCTTTATGATTGCCAAGAGCAAAAGCACATGTAAATGCGATTCTTCTTTACTGTGAACACATTTATCTATAGTGTTTCTTGTTAGTTCCATAGGGTTATAACTGCACATAATAGTGATTGGATTGGATTGGTTAACTAAACTATATATATATATATTTATTATTATATAATATATCTAGCATGTAACATACTATAAATAAATGATATTTATGTACTGGTCTGACAATTAAGTTTGCGAACTTGTTGCACGGATTTTGCTAACCTTTTTTGATGTCGATTATTCATTATGAGTTTGTATCAACTGGACAGTTAACCAAGTTTAATATTTGGAAGTGCTGAAAAGGCTGTGTGAAAAAGTTAGATGACTTGAACTTTTTGCCAACAGTTCATGGCTCTTGCATCACAACAATGCACCAGCTTACACGGCACTGTCTGTGAGGGAGTTTGTAGCCGGTAAACAAATAACTGTATTGGAATACCCTCCCTACTCACCTGATCTGGCCCCCAATGTCTTCTTTCTTTACCTGGAGATAAAGGAAATATTGAAAGGAAGACATTTTGCTGACATTCAGGACATCAAGGGTAATATGATGACAGCTCTGATGGCCATTCTAGAAAAAGAATTCCAAAATTGCTTCGAAGAGTGGACTAGGCACTGGCATTGGTGCATAGCTTCCCAAAGGGGAGTACTTCAAAGGTGACTATAGTGATATTCAGCAATGAGATCTGTAGCACGGTTTCTAGGATGAGCTCGTGAACTTAATTTTCAGACCTCATATACAACAGTAGCTCAGAAATGTGGCCTAAGATCATGAAAGTGAATATTGAAATAAAGTGACGGCATTAATGAAAATGTTTGACAATACAATCAATCAACAGCCTTTTATTTTATGCCTATTATGTACCAAGAACTTTAATATCTGATGTGGGGATGCCAAAGAAATATATGAACCTTGCTTTTAATAACATTTCAGTCTAATTGAAAAAGAAAAAAACATTCTGCCATTCCTATTTAGTTTGGTTATATAGGAAACTAGTGTTATGAGGGAGCTTTAAATCCATGTCTTTATGAGGCAAATGTTTTCATAAGTATTGTATTGTTTGATCTAAAGTGTTTGATCTCTTTTTTATCCTGGCTTGTATACATATTCAACAATGAGGCAATGGCAGGAAATGTCTAGAATAAATATAGATAAATAGTGTGGGGACAATTTGAATGTATATGTAATGTACCTATTGCTTTTTGAAGTCTGTTTTCAAGGTCAGCAAACATATCAATAGAAATGTTGACTACATTGGGAGTATTGCATTTTGTGTACACAATGTTGCCTTTCCTTGAAAATGTGCCATACTGATGGAAATTTACCCTGGCTTGCCTGATATTTGTATCATGATTTTTGTTGCCTAGGACAATCGAGAGAATTATGGGAGCTTTGTGAGAGATAGAACACATCCTTTCAACGTCCCAGAAAAAAAAGTATAAGGGACAGAAAGGTGATAGGACTGCTGAAAATACATGGAATTCATAAACGCTATGAAATAATTTGCTATTTCATTTGTTCTGCAACTAATAGAATTTTTAAAAAGAATAAAACAGAATATGAGGATAGCGAATGACTGGGCTTGATGGTTACTAGTGTTCAGATGTAAAAAAAGCAACCCATGCTCAGACAAAGAATGCTGTGTCAGGACCACTGACAGTAACCCACAGCTCATGCATACCGATTGCTAGCTTTTACTCAAGTTAATGGGTAGATGTGGGAGACCAAATCAGAGGCCCTGAACACTACATTAAAAGTTTCTTGTCTAGTGAAGTCTTCCCTTTGTCATCCCAAGACAGATGGCTTATTGTCTGTGGGCTCTGAAAAGCAGGACAACTTTCCAGACCCTGGCTAGGCTTAGTCCTTGGACAAAACAAAAGAGAGATTTCATTGTTTTCTAAATGCATACCTGATCTTAATGCACAAGGAAGTCAAACTGACCTCCCTTCTCATCTTCACAGCAGAAAGTTGGACAGAGTGGCTTATACTTAGCTATTATTATTACTCCAAGAATCTCACTAAAATGAACAGATGCCCCAATTCCAAATAGTTGATTTGGAGGAGAAATCGCAAGGCATAATGAAGAAGAAGGGCTAAGAATTTACTCTCTAATATAACTTCATAAAAAAGCAAGTCTGTATGATCCTATAAAAATTATCCCCAGAATAATTTAATTAAAGGAAAAATCCTAGAACCCAGAGAAGCTTGCAGTGGAAGGTTGGATTAGGTGATCTTTAATGCTCTCTCCAAATCAAAAGGGTTATTTACAATTAAGTACATGATACCTATTATATATATAATAGAAAGATACCACCAATTTGTTCTGTTCCATTTGGTCTGCTCCAAAATCCCAGAGATTACGATGGGATTTGGAGTCAATGACACTGATCGTAACACTATTTCCAGCAGTTGGATGTTTATCTGATCAGATGGCAGAGTGCCTCTTCTTATATTCCATTTTTTTAATTGCTTTGGATTGCCATTTTATTGCTTTTTTTTTTTGATGGAGAATAATATCCTTTCAAATTAGCCCTCTGAATGCAGCAATCCGCTATAAGACTGTTAATGAAACCTCCAACTGTAAGTTACTCTCTCCCTCAAAAATTAGTACTTGTTCCCTAGCAGCCAGCTTTCAAAGACCGACTCAGATGCAGGCAATATATTCCAAGCATTGAGGGTATTTTAAGCCAAAACAATTAAGCTTGAAAACACAGGCACTTTAAAAATAAATTATAGTGACTAATTTCTAGTTCTCAAGTCCTTCCCAATATTTATAATAGGTTTGCAGTATAGTTTCCAATTGAAAGATTCACAGCAGCAGTCTTAGTGGATGGTTTCATCCGTTAGCTGCAAATTATTTTTCAGTTTTTATTTCTGGGTCTGACTCATAAGTATTCTCACAGTAACAACATCCGACCACACACTGGACTATCACTTATACAACAGAGAGGATATGCTTGGGGTAGGAAATAGTTATGTTGCCCAGCAAAATAAGAGCAGGGTATTCTTTCATAATGAATATAACCACAAGGTAGCCCCTCACCCTCTCAGAGCCTCAAGTATAATCATAGAATTATGCCATCCATACGGGGCAGGAAATTTTTGTCCTGTCAAATCTCTTTGCATAATGCATGAGACCAAATTAGTGGTAAGTGTTTGTGGTCAGTAGGGCTCATTCATCACCCTGGATCTGTTTCTCAGATTAAATACTCTTAAGCAAGAAGCTGAGGCACAGCGCAGCCAGAGTTCCAGATTTGCAAAGACATAGCACCTTTCTTACCTTGTGTAACATTTGCAGTTTCTACCTTTTATGTGTGAAGAAAGGGAATTAAGCTGTAACAACACCAGAACAGCAGTCTCTGGGATATCTTAGCTTGTTGACTCATTCCATGAAAATGGACAAATTTTCAGCTGCAGAGCCCCAGAACCTCAACATAAAAATGGATGTTATGGTCCGTTTGCTGATGAAAGCAGGCTGAACTTTTACTTCCACTGTAATCACAGTGTAAACAATTCGAGGGAATTATCCCTTCACTGACTGCTTCTCCTCCCCCCTAAAAGCACATTTTACTGTAATAGAGGAAACGTTCATCCCCCACAGTGGGCAATCCCTTCTTCTTACTGAGCTGCCAGTTTGATCTGTAGTCAAACGAAAACACTGTGGCACTGCTTGAACTCTGATGGGAGGGTACTGGATCCAGTTAGAGGGAAGATGATTACACAGAAGTGGCTATTTGTTGATTTCCTTGCTGTAAAACTCTTTGCAGGTGATATGGGCTGAACAGCAGTATGAAAAAGAGAGACGTAAACGTTCAACTGTAAGAGACTCAGCACGAAATCTCTTCAATGATCCAATGTGGAGTCAGCAGTGGTACTTGGTGAGTACGTACAGAAGGACTGTGTGGGGCCTTGGTTATTTATTTTGTTACATCTGCACGATAGATTTTTTTTTTTTTAATGATGGAGAATTCGGCAGAGAGCTATGTTACCTAGAGACTGGGGCTGATGTGACCTTCCAGGATGTGGATCTTTGGTTTTACTAGGTAAGAGTGAAACACAGGCCTTTAGCTGCTGTGAGAGGAGGGCTTGCTGTCTTTTTGTCTTCCTAAGCATATCTGGAGTAAGTGTAGAAGCATCATGTCTTGGAAGGTAGGGGTTTCAAACCAGCATTCATGGCCAATGCTTGGGAATGTGCTCATCTCGGTGTTTCTTGCTGTCTAGCTCTTCTCCCCCGACACTGTAACTATCGGAAAGGTTTTCTGGAAAAGAAAACCCCAAATCTCCTCTCACAGATACTTGCTTCCTAAATCACTCGTATTTGTAAATAGGCAATTACATTGCAAGTTCTGGTGAGACCACAGCCTCCTGGGCATTCCAGGTTCTGCTTTTAGAAAAAGTTACAAGAAAAGTTATTTTAGAAAAGTTATAAAAAATATCCACAAATGACTGAACCAGATGATATAAAGTGGGTTCATTGTGGCAACTGAGGCTTAGGATTTGGGGGGAGACGGAAACACAGGACATCAAACGAAGCTTAGGTAGATAGAAAGCTCGAGCATGTCATTATAAATGAAAGAAACTTACAGACAAGCTTCTTCAATGCCATATAGCTCAAAGAGAGTCATTGTTTTGAGTTATCTTCCATTAGAACAACTGGGAAAAGAGCAGCACTCAGGATTCGCTTGGCCCTACCCTCAGCTTTGTTTACTTCACCTAATTGCCTTCTTCTAAGGAGTACAGTGGCCCCAGGAAAAAGAAAGATGGGTCTCCAGACTGTAGTGACAACTCTCATTCTGCAACACTCAAATCAGGATTTCACCAATGCTTCTTTGTTTTTCCTTACCAGCAAGACACAAGGATGATGGCCTCCCTGCCCAAGCTGGATCTCCATGTGATACCTGTTTGGCAAAAAGGCATCACAGGCAAAGGAGTTGTTATCACTGTACTGGATGATGGCTTGGAGTGGAATCACACAGACATCTATGCCAATTACGTGAGTCTGGGCCTTCTCATGACTTATGACTTAGAGGGCTGTCTACGTGGACACACAGTTAGGGCTCTCCCTTCCTCAAGCAGGAGGCTGCTCTGATGTTGGCCCTGGCAATGATGGACCAAGACTTTGCAAATTCCCTCAACTCCCCTGCCAGCCTATATGAACTTTCTTGTATCAATTGTCATGGGAAGAATTTAATGGCAGTAAGGACTGTACAAACACATGTGCAGTAGGGGAGGGTAAGGGCACCTACACCAACTAAATTATTAAAAGCCATTCAGATCCTCTGCTATGTGATATTGGCAGTGTTAAAGCAATACAATCAAGCCTGATGCCTGATGTCATTCTCACGGTCTTCCTCCTCAAATCCCTCATGGGTCAGTATCTCTCACATTGTGAAGTTACGTGAGTGTGATTCCTTTCATGCCAAGTCCAAGTGTACACTACACAGTGCAAAAAATGACAAGCTGAAGAAAGAAAGGCTTATTAGAAATGGGAAATAAGTAAATGAAAAACATTTACTTAATTGTTTATGAAGCTTTCTATAATATCTAATAATATCTAATATCTAATATAATATATAATAATAGGTCTTTAGATCAGTGTTTCACCTTTAAGATTGTCCCTTATCTTTCTCTCATCCTTCCCATTCATCCAACATTCCTCAGCTAAAGTGCAAAGGAAAAGGGAAGAAGAGATAAAAAAAAGATTATTGGAAAGTAGGAATTATTAAAAGATATGGAAAATACAGAGAAGTGGCAGCAGTGGAGATAGAATTCCTACGTGGAAGATGTTTCAGTATAGTGATCTGGTTGGAAAGAGGGTAGGACCTGGAAGCTTATCTTGAATTTCAAGTACACTCTCTTTAATTAAATTCCACGTTTATTTAGTACAAATGGGGAGGCTGAAGCACATCACTGTGGACCTATGGCCCATCCCACAGCCACTTCTTTACACCTATACTCGTTAGAGAGATGAGTGTTAAGGTGTCGCTAACTAGCTCTGCATCACTTCGTCAAGTCATTCAATTTCACTGGGCCTCAATTTTCTCATCTGAAAAATGAGGTGGTTGAACTAACTAAACTGATCCCTCCTGGTTCTAATGTTCTATGAGCTTCTGTGAGCTATCAGTTTGGTAACATTCACTGAGAATTGTTTGCTGGCTTGCTTTTCTGTCTCTACCTGGTTTATGGGTTTAATAAATGATTAGCCACTGGCCCGGAAACTCCGAAATGCAGACTTTCAAGCTATCAGCCAGCATGGGAATGGAATAGGGGTAGAAGGCTTAGGAAGTGCTGCTTTTTAAATGATGCTACCGTGTTATTTTTGTTGTTTCTTTAGGACCCAGAGGCTAGCTATGATTTTAATGATAATGACCATGATCCATTTCCCCGATATGATCCCACAAATGAGAACAAGTAAGTAAATGAGGATTCTGGGGGGAATAAATACTTTAAAATGCTTTTATTTGAGCTCTCAGAAAATGTTCAGGCACACCATCCATACCACAATATTTTTTGTTGCTTTTAAAATAGAAACTGAAGCATCTTTTTTTTATCTTCCCTTTGGCTTATAGAACCATATTTCCATTAAACTTTCTTCTTATATTGTAAGACTGTTACTGCATAGATATAGCTTTAGAAAGAATATTTGGTATATAAAGAGTAAAAATCTTGAGGCCACCCCCACCCCCAATTCCTCTATGAATCTTTGACTATTAGCAGCATGCTCGATGTTAGCATGAAAAGAAATAGAGATGACCAAGATAATGAATCCTCATACCTTCCTGTGGTGGCCATAACCATGCTCGCCGGTTCCTTTAGAAGAGCATGGCCAGACATCAGACAAGAGAAAGGTACCCTGAGGCCTCGTGCTCAAATTCAACACAGTCTCTGGGGAATTGTACTAGTTAGTAGCATGTTCCAGAGTTCCTGGTGGATATTCTAAAGCTAAAGGAAAGAGAAAGAGGAAATCTTGTGAGTCCTGAATTAACTTTCTATAGCAGCCACAGGGTGATGAGGGAGGCCAAGAGCCAGACCTGCCAAAGCAAGAAGCCAAATAAAGACCCAGAGGCCAGAGACAGTTTAACCCTCTTTCCTAACCCCAAAATGCTTCCCTCTCTAGGCACATAGCCTCAAGTGCCTATGCCCATAGGAGAACTCCTCTGTGTGCATAATGATATCTCTTGTAGACTTCGAGGAGACATGCACGCTTTTCCTCTGTATTTGCTCCACCCAGAAGAGACTTGCACCAAAATAGATCAAAGTCAAGGCAAAATTAGGGCTTGCTGCGAGCCCTAGTGGGGCTAGAAAGAGCAAGTAATGAAAAGCTCTTTGTGGATGCCACATAAAGTGCTTCCCTTTTCTCTGGATGGCTTTCTCTCTCTTGGACAATTAAGTTTTCTCTTTCTCCCTCTTTCCTTCTCTCTCTCATTCTCACTGTCCCTCTCCCTTTCTTCTTTATTCTCTCTCAGAATCTCCATGTGCTCAATGCAGTAATATTGACCTAAAGTTGTTTCTCTGGATGGTGCCCCTCCAGAAGGCCAACAAACCCTAGGAAGGGAGTCTGGGGCTCTTGGACTTGGCCTCAATTTCTGGGTGTATATTTATTTCTTGAGGAGAAGGGGAGGCTAAGAGAGGCTTCCAAGTTACTGCTTTTTTCAATACCACTTACTTCCTCTAGGGCTTATTTCTTAAAGGGGTTAACTGCAAACATCCCCTAGAAGTTAGAACATTCCAGTAACAATGGAACAGGAGCTATGAGGGAGTTTCCTTGAAGGAAAGTGGGATATCTCAGGAACTTACAGCAGGGTCCCCCAGATCAACTTTCAGCCATATCTCTTAGTCAGGGCTGTGAGGGACCAGAAGGAACTTCTGTTCTTTTGGAGCATGACCGTGTTATGTTAGCCTGGCTGATAGTCATGGCCTTGCTGATTACCCGTATAGAGGGTGACCTTGAGGAAATCACCTCTCTTTGCCTCTATTTTTCATTGGGTCTCCTAAAATGAGTGACAAGACACCTGTTCTCTACCCTCCTGAAAGGCACTTCCTAAGGAAATGGCAATAAATGCTTGGAAGAAAGGGGCACCTTTCTTGGAATTAAGTAAAAATGACAACTCCCATCTCACTCCCTTGGTCAAGAGTAAGAGAGAAATCTGCTGACAGCCTCACGAGGAGACTGCTAGCCTCTTTCCTAGGCAGTGTACCCTGGGTCTGGCCCCAGGATCCAACATAGGTTAACACTTACGTGGTGGCTGCATGATTGATAGGTGAATACTTGGTGAAATGATATTCTCTAGAGTTTCCCTGCTAATGAAAATGGGGACTCTCACATCACAGTATTTACAATATAATTCTCCCAACTCACAGATCTCCAAACGCCCCCAAGGAAGCCGCCCATATAATCATACTTATTTTATGCCCGAAAACGCTGAGCTTCAGAGCACAGCCTGCCATGGACCTGCCACATAGCATAGAGCTACTGTGGCATAGCCAAACCGTGAAGAGTGCAGACTTTGCAGCTAGATTTAGGTCACGTATTAGATCTGCCACTTAGTAGCTGAGCTACCTTGACTTAATTATTTAACTTCTTTGTGCCTCAGTTTTATCATCTATTAAAAAGGGATAATAGGAGATTATACTTCATTTGGGTTATATGAGGATTAAATGAGCTTATATACAAATTGGCTTGGATACTGCCTGGTACATTGAAAACGTAAGTGTTTGCTATGATGATGAGACGACGATGATGATGATGATGACATGAATGATGATGATGATCAAGGCTTCTCATTTAGGACTAAGGTAGACCTCCTTTCAGTGAGAAATCAGCATGACAAGAATAATATCATGCGATAGGAGCAGAGGCAGAGACAAGTCAATTTTCTGAGCCAGTTCAGAATCTGCTATTTAAATATTACACTATAAGCAACTGTTAGGGTCCTCTGGACTATCAACCAAAAAGGTGGCATCCCTATCATTTATCAAAGGTATAATAAACAATAGAGTTATCCTTCAACCATGTTGTCAAAAATAAATCCCTCAACTTTAGAAAATGAATGGTCCCATTTTATTTTGTCCTTAGAGCAGTTGGAGACCTATTTTCTCCCAATTCCAGGGCATTATGGCTCCAAACTATCTGTGTTTCTACTGTTCTTTATTACTATGTAAATGACATTAATAGAACCTACATTTGAATTCTCATCTGCAAATCAAAAGAGGAATCACTAAATAATAAAACCTTAAAAGTGCAGCAGGTAACTCACTATTAAGCTGGCATGAATCTATATTCAGTATTTCAATACCAATTACAGATTATTTTTCTAGTTAAATAACATGTGTGACAAGGATATTTTAACCAGCATAATAGAAGTCTTTAAACTATCTTGTGGAATAATTTTTTAAAAATCAATTTGTTTAAATGCCAGTTACTACCATTGTTCTAGGATAATAGAAGGTTCTTTTATCTCAGAGTCTGATTTAAGGAAATAAAAAAGCTACAGGTCTATAAAAAATTACATAGAACCGCTTTGATGAAGTCTTCCCTTTTTCTCAAGGTGTGGAGGTGGAAAGTGAGGCTAAGAGAAGGAAAAAATATCAACCCCTATTTGTAGGATGATCCTGCTGTACCTTTCAAGAAAACAGTCCTTAGTATATAAGGAGCGATAATAGGTCGTGTCACATTGCATTATTTTTAGGACAGAAGTACAATGCTGGAGATGTTTTCCCATGGGTTGATTCTGTTGGGTCAGGCTGAAGATTTTGCTATCCTAAGCCCTGTCTCCCATCCTGTGTAAATGGAAATACAGGCAGTGGTGACTTAGGGGAGGAGTACATTTCCCAGAGGATGAAAACTGAATTTTTCCTTCTAGAAAGGCAAAGAGGACTAATCCATTCAAGAAGCTGCCTTCTATGTATTTAATGTGCATACAGTTCTCAGAAAATGGTCAGGATAGCTTCAGTTCCGAGTGAGAGAATCCTAACTCAAAGATTAAGTAAAATGGGGATTTAAAAAAAAAACAAAAACATCACCCAAGGCATGGTCTAGCTTCAAGCATTGCAAGATCAGGAGCTCAAATAATATGTCATCAAGATACCAGCCACTATATCTCCACCTACCAGTGATGCTCGCCTCAACTTAGCTTCACTATCAGTAGAATCTTGCCTGGCAGCAAGATCCACATGGCTCACATGGAGCTTAAAGCTCAAGACTAGAGAAAGAATATAATTCTCTTCCCCAGAATCTTCATTAATCCTTGAAAGCTGTCTGGGAGAAGGAGCCTCATGATAGAGAGAATCACAAGGAGTGAGGGAGGGCCACTTCCCAAAAGGGGGAAATTCTAGGAGACAAAAAAGAATCAGATGTCTGCTGCTCTAGGGAAGACCTTGAATTAAAGATAATTATATTGTTCTGACTTAGGATTCCTATCCAATATTTGGAAGAAACAAGAACATCATTTAGTGGAAGGAGACCAGGAAATCATCTTTGGTGCTTTAGGAAAAAGAATAAGTGAAACGGAATGATTTTGGGTGACCCAGTCACTTCTGGATTTTTATATTCCTTACCAGGCTACATTAATAGATGTCTAGGGTGGAGGTGTCTAAGAGTAGCTGGTTGACAGACTTGCTCAGAGCTAATCCTTCCTCTCTTTTTTTCTATGTCAGCATATCTAGTCAACAGCTCCTCCAACAGCCTTCACAATGCCCCAGATGCTTCCATCATGGAATAAAGTCATTAAATAAACACATTTACATTCAAGTTTTCTTGACTTACAGGCCCTCCGGAGGTCAGGGTGGTGGTGGGAAAAGACAATTATTATCCCCAGAATTTCAGAATTAATGCTTTGAGGGTGGACCTTGGTCTGTTTTAGAGCTGGATTCCCCCCTCCCCCACCAAATACTCTGAAATCATAGATTACCAGACTGCAAAAGCAACCTTGTTCAGGCCACTGGCTCTAATCGGAGGTGCAGAAGCACCCTGGTTTCCCAATTAGCCTGTAGTGTCTTCTTAAAATCTCCACCTCCTCTTGGTACCAGAAAACCCTCAGATGTTTTAGTGCGGTGTACGGTTAGAGGAGGAGAGGAACTTGGGAAAAGGGACTCTTCTATTGTGTCCTACTACTGCGGTCCAGGATAACCTAATCCAAGGAAGTCACTAGAGGGGTAGCAAGGAGCCACTTCACTACCAGAAAATATGGAGCAGAAGCCATTAATTTGGAAACAGTTTCTGCAAGATTCGGAGTTGCTCATCATCATATCCATAGCTAACACGTACTGGGTGCTTACTATATATCAACCACTGTTCTAAGTACTCTATACACAACATCTCAGGTGATGTCAGAACCCTTTGAGGACAACTAACTTACCCAAGGTCATACCACTAACTAGTGGAAAAAGCTAGAGTCTGAACTCTAGCTCCTGTACCTGTGTCCTTCATCTGATACCTACAACTTTATCGAATGCTGATGGGAAGGAAACCAAGAACAAGGCGACAAAAAGTTAATGTATCCATGTACCATGGATTCATGTACAAAGCAAATGTTTGTCTTCATTTATGTTTTATAATTTCTATCTTTTTAATCCTCAGACATGGGACCAGATGTGCAGGAGAAATTGCCATGCAAGCAAATAATCGCAAGTGTGGGGTCGGAGTTGCATACAATTCCAAGGTCGGAGGTAACGCAGAGGGCTGTTCCTGTGGTTTTGCACTTCTGATATGAGTCTAGTGTCACCTGGTATAAATGAGATGGGGAGTGGGGCTTTTCAACAACCATTGGAAGAAATGAACTCCATGCAAAATGGGCAGCAGGACTGGAGTGTGATTTGCAAGCAAATCAATGGATCTGGATTTCTAGAAAATGATAGCTGAATATAGCCCATACGTCTCTGTGGGGGGAAAATGGAAAAGTTGAACAGCTTTGCAGCCCTATCGAATTTTCTCTGTGTCCTGATTTAGAAAGGCTTGTTACTGAGTGCCCAGGAAGCAGAAGGAGGAGGTAAATTTAGGCAGACTTTCCCTGCCTCTCAGTCTCAATTCGGTAGTTCTTCATTTCATAGCAAGGAACAGCTTTTAAAAATAAAAAGAATATATTTGTTACATAAAGAAGCCAAAGGTTATCTTTAATAGCAAATATTTAGAATCCCTAGTTTTTTTTTAGTCATTGGCTTAATGGGGAAACATGGTAAGTTCCATCATGGCCATTTAATAAAAGAACTATTTACAAGAGTTAAAAGGAAACCAACAAAGGCTAACGAATGTGGGTAGATGTCTAGAGGATCAAGGAGAAGGAGTCAGTGGAAACTGGAGTGAGAAAGCTGTGGCCATAGGCGAGAACCACTGGAGAGGGGCTATTGCCCTGAGCACAACAACGGAACTATTTCTAGGCAGGGAGGATCAAGCAGAATGAGTACCTCACTCTCCCCTCATCCCTACCCCTTGCTGCTGTCATAAGCTGGCTGAGCCCCATGGGAAGATAAGATAGCCCACTGATACGGTCCTTGTTCCCATGGAGAAGGGTGGAGAGTGGATTTGTAGGGGCTCACAGACACTGTATTCCTCTTTTAAAACCAAATAAATAGGGGCCGGCCAAGTGGCTCAGTTGGTTAAGAGCTCTCTCAAGAGTGTGAGGTCTGTGCAACAGCAGTTCGATGCCCAGCCCAAGCTGAGCTGCTGCTGAACTGCCAACAGGTGGCAAGAAGGCTCAGCTAAAAAAAAAAAAAAATCAAATAAATATACATCCTGGCATATATAATGCCTCACACTAACATAGCACTCTCTTAGATTTTGTCATTCCTAATTACTTTGATGCTAGCATCAGCAAAGTGCCATGTTAATTTAAAGAAAATGAAGGCAGAAGCACAAATTGTATAATCACCTAGAAGAAGAATTCACTCTTTAAGTCTTGATCAGCTAAGTAGCTAATTTGTGAGAGAATCATCTGGTCCCTTCATTTTATAGAGGAGGTATCAGAAGCAAGATTCTCCAGGAAACTGGCAGTGTGGAAGTAAAACACAAGGCTTCTCATTCCAAGTCTACATGATTGTTTGCTTTTTTTCTTTTCATTACTCCATCCTTTGATAGCCTAGCCCCAAGTGCATTTTTTTATAATAACCTTCATTTTTAAGCACCTACTATATGTCCATCACTTACTCTACAACACATTATAGGCAGTGTATTCATTTGGGTATTGGATCTGGGATTCCAGTCCTGGCTCCCCAGTGTCAAGCTATGTGGCCTTGGGCAAGTCATGGTCCCTCTCTGGCCTCAGTCCTTCCACCTATAAAATAGGGAGAATTACAGAACCCACCTCAAATGGTTGTCCTAAGGATAGATGAGTTCATAAGTTTAAGGCCTGCAGAAAAGTAGCGGCATATATTATCTCCTCAATGCATGTGAGATGTTATCCCCATTTTATAGTTAAAGAAACTGAGGCACAAGGAGGTTAAGTGATTTGCCCCATGATCATGCACCTAGTAAGTTAAAAAGCTGGGATTCTTTTTCTCAAATGCATTTTTAAAACAAATATGACTTTCTTTACTTTTATTTTTAAAATATTTTTATTGGGGAATTGGGGGAAGGGGAACAGAAAAGTTGCTCATTTTTTGTTCTTCAGTCTAGTTGTGGAGGACGTTGCCTCACTGGCCCAAGTTGGCACCATCATTGCGCTCTTTCCAAGCAAGGCAGATCAGTCGCCTGCTTCTGGACGGCCGCTCCCTGCGGCTTGCTGGCCGCTCACACTGGCTGCTGGCTACACACGGTAGCCCATGGCAACCTACTGCCACAGGGGCTGCAGCCTACGCCGTCGCGGGTGACTCAGGGCAGCCCAGCTCCAGGTTGAGCTGTTGTTCAGCATCTTAGCTGTGGAGGGCAGTGTCACTGGCCCTCATATGTGGGATCCGAACCGGGGCCCTCTGGCGTCCCAAGCCAGCTCTTAACCATCGCGCCACTCGGCCAGCCCAAATATGACTTTCACTGATCATGTCAATTACATGTTCTTTTACCTATACTCCACAGTAAATGATAGTGTGAAAATCTAAGGCTATGTAATCCATTGCATTATTAGCCTGAAGCCAGTAATAACCAGGTTACTGCCTGGATCTGTGTGAACCGCTTTTGCCTTCCTGAGCCTGATGATGGGCGACAGCCTGTTGGAAGGCACAAAGAGCTACCGCGTCTGCCTCCTCCTGATGAAAAATGAATCCCCCTCAGGAGTGAAATCCATGGCAATGATTTCATCCTTGAGATTATTGAGAAGAAAAGGAAGCATGTTCCTTGAAAATGTTTCTTAGCAAACACATAATAGAATGGCCTCTGGGTTATTTTTAATCAGTGCTTAGAAACAAGAGTTCTTTCCTTATTTGTTAGCTTCCTATTGTGGGCAGACCTTTGCAAGCTGCGTGGTTTCTGCTACAGAGTCATTTATATGGCACAGGTTGGGCCACAGCTATTTGTGGCAGAGTCATGGGCAGGTCTGTCAGGACGGGGCTGTTTGATGCCTCTTTCTAAAAGCTCTCCTGTCAACTTCAGGTTATTGGCAGAGTGGAGAGAAGGCAGACATTTTGTAATCCACAACAACCATGGCCACTGCACAGTGCATACAAGTTATCTCTAAAAGGCAGATAAGAAAGCTTCTAGAGGCAGTGACTTTACCTTTCTTTGTGCTGCTAGCAGCTGGGTCATGGGATATCCAGTGATTACCCTGTTTTTGACTCTTTTCAGAGTCTTTTAAAAAATGCATATTAAGAGCATTGTGCCTTTCTACATGTACATACTGACATCAACTTATGTGTTTGTTTGGGTTGGTGTTCAGGCATAAGAATGCTGGATGGCATTGTGACCGATGCTATTGAAGCGAGTTCCATTGGCTTCAATCCTGGACATGTGGATATTTACAGTGCGAGCTGGGGCCCTAATGATGATGGGAAAACTGTGGAGGGGCCTGGTCGACTAGCCCAGAAGGCTTTTGAATATGGTGTTCAACAGGTAAGATGCTTAACATAGACCTACCTGAAATGGAACCTGACCTTTTGGGTATGAGGAGAAGGAAGAAATTTTAGCTTATATGGAAAGGAATGGTTGTGAATTTCTTGTAGTTGCTTATGACTTGAAATGCATTTAGAGAGCCATATCATTCTTCAGAGGGATGGAAGTTAAAGTTTCAGAGATATTTTTTTCCCTATTTGGATCTGACATTCAACAAAGATTTATTACTATTAAGATATTTACTTACGGAATGCTTGGATATGTACTTTCTCATGTTCCTGCTGTTTTTAAATTTTTACACGAGGTAAACTACTACCTATGCTTCTTTCAAATGCTCTGAAAATGGACTCATAAATATAGCTCTGCACATGCCTGGTGAACACGGGTGCCTTGGTTGTGCTGCTCTGTCGCTTGGGTTTACTGCACTGCTGCCAAGATTCTAAGGCCTTGTTCCGCACAGGATGAAACAAAAGAAGAAACTTTGGAGAGCACAAATTGAAAAATCGGAGAAAGAGTAGCCTTGACGAGTTCCATTCAATTGACGAGTCCCTTTTAAGGCAGCTGCAAAGCAGATCTGAATAATGCCTGATTTTGCCATTCTATCAGTCAGCCAGAAGACTCAAGCAGAAAGAAAGAGAGGAAGTTCAAAGATTCAAGGGTAGTGCTATAAGCCAAGGGAAGAGTGAAAGAATATGAGCGCGTTCCAATGGCCAGACTATGAAGCCACATAATAAAGAAAAAGAAGGAAAGAAAAGCACTCGCTCAGCCCCATCCCATTGAGGGCCCAGATAAAGGAGGGCTGGCAGAGCCAGAACCCTGTGGCTTGTAATAGGAAGTCCTGTGAGACTTCCAGTATTGATGCTGGAGGACCTAGAGTTGAAAGAGACTATAGATCACGGTCTCTGAGAACTCCATGCATGTGTCTGTTGGGGATTTCATTGTGGGGGGAGGGGTGACAGTGACCGCACTAGATGATGATGGATGTGATATCCTCTGGCTTTTCCTTTAGGGGAGACAAGGAAAAGGCTCCATCTTCGTCTGGGCTTCTGGGAACGGGGGGCGTCAGGGAGATAACTGCGACTGTGATGGGTACACAGACAGCATCTACACCATCTCCATCAGCAGCGCCTCGCAGCAGGGCCTGTCCCCCTGGTACGCTGAGAAGTGCTCCTCCACCCTGGCCACCTCCTACAGCAGCGGCGATTACACCGACCAGAGAATCGTATGTTGTTGCTTTTGTTTAATGCTCTCTGCTTAGGTAGAAGAGCGTAGCTTGCATTCAAAAGTATCCTTTGGTCAGTACCTTTGGTAAAATCGATTTGTTTAAGCTTCGTGTCTCAGCTGGGGAGACTCATGTTTTACTCACTAAAAAGGCTGGCATCTACTGGGAAGTTTTCTCTCAAAGGGATAATGATGCCTCTGCCAAGAGGATGTTGCCTCTCAGTCATTTTTAAACTCAGCCCCGAGAAGCCACCAATCTGTCATTACATTGGGCCGAGACTCCAATTGTCGATTTGGCTTGTGTGATGCCTCCCTGAAAAGAGCCTTAAAGGAGATTTCGGGGTTGTAGGGGCTTTATCACCCTGTACTTATTGATCTTTTAATAGCAGGGATATGGTCTGGCTTGCCCTTTAGCAGATGATAAAAATACAGAGCGCACACCAGCTATGTCTCCTAAGAACAAACGACCTGCAGGAAAATAAGAGCTTAAATTTCCCCTGAGGTGAACTTCTCAGCATCCAAATAAGCAGCTCAGGAAAGTTAGATGCTCAGAGAGCATCTCCAGCCCACGCTTGGCTGTGCCTTCACGTCCATGAGTCAGACTGCCAAGGGCAATTACTGGATTTCCCTTCAAGGGCATGGTGAGGAAGGACCATTCTGGGGCCTTGAGAACAGAGGGCACTTTTAATTTAAAATTGTAAAGCCCCCAATTTAACTCCTGACACAGAAAGAACCAACAAGCTAAAATATGTAGATCTTAATCTCAATGAAATAACAGGTTGCGATCCAATTAGACTGTGGGTGACCCCATTATAATTAGACCTTAAAGTGTTTGTAAAATTCATATTAACAGCATCTCAACAAAATTCTTAGAACTGCTGCCTTCTTCAAACAGGATCAGTATCCTAGAGCTCTGCCTGCTTTACCAATCTACTCCAATTTAGATAGTACAACTGTGGTCTCTACTTAAAAGCACTGGCCTCCCTTTCATGCCCATATCTTCAATTACACAAATAATAAGACAGTGATGGTCTACCCAGGGGTTCTTTATGACAGACATATTTTATAGCTTTTGAATGTGGCATATCAGACATGTTTTCCACTTGTGTTCAGAGCCAGCCCTAAGCTGTCGTCCACTGTTGCTTTTGAGAAAATGGCCTGTAATGCATTTCAGAGTCACTCTTTCATAGACTGTACCTCAGTGAACTAGTCTGCGCTGAAGTAGGAGGGAGCATTTCTATCTTTGCAAAGATCCCTCCTTAGGTAAATCAGCCCTAGGAGGGACAGCTGGTGAATTCTATTTGAGATGGCTGTGCTAACATAGCCTTGTCTTACGCAAACCTCTTCGTCAGCGCAGTCATCTCTGGGGGTTCATTTGCGTCAACAGGTAAAAAGGGCAACCTTGCTTCCTCAACCCTCTGACGAGCAAAGCCACCATAATCTGAGAAACTCAGCGACTCCAAGTGGGAAGCCAAAGGAGGTGATAATAGAACAAATTATTTTTTTACACCTCTCTCCCACACATTGAAATCTCTAGCTTAAAACCACAGTGCGGGAGCCTGAGTGGGTGTCTTGTTAGCGATCCTTTGGCCCAACTACTTGTTCAACCAGCAGCACTGCGGTCCTTAGGGCAGACTGACTGGAAGTCTTTCGGGTTTCTTCCCTTTGTCTTGGCAACCTCTTCAATTAAGCTAAAATGAGTCTGGGTAATTCTTTGCATGCAATAATATTGTGTAAAAAATGCTTTCGCAGACAGGATCTCATTTCAGCCTCAGAGTAGGAGTCAGGAAATGTCAACCTCATTGTACAGACGGGGAAACCAAGTGACTTGCCCATGGGACACGTCTATTGAATAGCAGTTTTAGAATTTGGACCCAGGTCTAAGTCTAGTACATATTCCACTTGAAAACCTCACATTTTCACCAATGTGCAAATGTAGACATTAACTCATGGGCATCCAATTATATCAACAGTGAATGCAGACCACACACTACACCAATTTTGTGCAGGTAGTTCAAGTGGCCCAAATTAGAATGACTTTATGTTCTTGTGCTGGAGAGAGTCAAATGTCAATACGAAGGCAAAAAGGGATTTTGCATGAGGCAGAGTTTCTAAATATGCCAGACCAAACACAATGGACCCGATGATTAATGGGCCGGCTTGATTCACAGTGATTCTGAAACAGTCCCCTTTGTCACAGACAGCATTTCGATTGGGAATCTCAGAGGAGAAAATATTCATAGTGGGAGTACTGCATCCCCAGAAAAGGCATCCTGATGCCAGAATTACAGACAAGTTGCATGTAGAGGAGAGTGAGCTAAAATATCAGCAGATGGCATGCATCCGCCTGTGGTTTAGAGGAGGAAGCAGGGGAATCGAATCAGCTCAGTTTCCTGATCACAGCAGATGCAGTGCTCGGTATGGGTAACCCCCGGGGACAGAAGCGCACGCTTCACATGTTCTCCCACGTTTCTTTCCTTCCTGGTGCCACCCAGACGAGCGCTGACCTGCACAATGACTGCACGGAGACCCACACGGGTACCTCGGCCTCGGCACCCCTGGCCGCTGGCATCTTCGCTCTGGCGCTGGAAGCAAAGTAAGGCCCAGAAAGCTTCTGATCTCCTTTACTAAGGCTGCTTCTCCTTGTTAATGACCTGTATGTATTGTTCGCTGAATACATGGTTACGATAGAAAACCACAAAAAAGAATAAAAGCAAGCTCTCTTCCTGTTAACATCTCAATGTAGATTTAATGCACGCATATCTTACAAAATTGGGATCTTAATCCACGCATTATTTTGTAATTTTTTAATGCACCCTGTTATATGTTAAGAGCACTTTCTTATGTCTAAATCAATGTTCCTTGACCTTTAAAATCTCATGCTTTCCTCTCAATTCTCCTCTGACTCAGCTGCAAGACTTTCTCACTTCTGTTTATTCCCACCAGGAAATACTTTGTTCAGATAATTTCCTGTGGGTGGTATTAGGAAAGATAAGTTTATAAAACATCCTTATTCGGGTTATATAAGCCCAGTCTTAGAGCTGCTATAACATGTCAGGGGACATGAGAATCAAAACCAGGATTTTTATCTTTTCATAGTATTCCATTATATAAATGAATATGTTATTTATATTTAATCATGCTTAAATACCCTTGTCCATAAATATTGGTTGTCATCTCTGATAATTTCCTTAGGATAAACATTCAGAATAGAATTTCTGGGTTAAAGGGCAAGTATGTCTTAATGGTTGAGATATATATTGCCAAGTTACTATCTAGAAAGACTGTAACATTTTATATTTCCACTAGTAGTATATGTGTGAAAGTGCCAGTTTCCTACACCTTTATTAAAGCGACTTTTATTACCTTTTAAAATGTTTGCTATTTTGATACATGAAAATGTTATCTTGTCTTCATATGCTTTTATTTAATTACTAACGAAGCTCAGCACTTTATATCCTTTGGCCATTTTATCATGTGTGATAGCTTGTTTATGACCTTGATTTTGTTTTATGGTCTTAGTTCAGAAAAGCTATTAATGCCTGGTTAGTTTGACATTTACCTTGTCATTTTATTTCTATGTAATTTTTAATGTAATGAAGTTAATATGTATACAATTTGTCAGTCTTCTTTCTTTAAGGCTTGTTCCTTAGTTTTTATACTCAGGAAAATCTTTACAACCCCAAAATTAGATAAATGTTTATTTTATATGTCTTTTATTATGCTTCCTTTACCATACTGAAGTCCTAAATTCCCCTGGAATTTATTTTTGTGTCTGATGTTAAAAAGGGATGGAACAACATTTTTTCCTCATAATAGGTACCCAATAGTCCAATACTTAATACAGAGGGAAAACATCTAATTGGTTTACATTGTATATCCACAACTTTTATTGTTCCTCATTTCTAGTTTCTAATGTTGTGTGGAAAGAAATATTTAAATGTCAAGGCAGGTGCTATGGTTGCATGATAGAGGAAGCGATTAAACTTGTAAACTGCTATCCTTCCTAATAAGGATGACATCCTAGAAGAACACCATATTCTTCAGAGAGGGAACAAAGCAGTATCCTCAAGTTATATTCAGTAGGAAAGGTTTACAGTAACAGAAGCGTAGAACACCTTGACTCCTGCCATAGGTGGAAGAGTCCTGGTTGCTGAGTCTTTGTCCAAAAGAGTTCAGAGTAGCTCTAAGAGCCCTGGGGCCACCTGTGGAGTTATGGTTCAGTCCCTGGATCTCAGCTATGAGATGGCCACAGTGGCTAAGCAAGATGGGCCTAGGAAGGCTCATACCAAGACCCTACCTCCTTGGACAAGCTGGGATGTCTGGAAGGGAAGAGCAAATCCAGGTGCTCAATTAGAAACAGAGAGACTTGAAACCCCGGGGCTCAACAGAAGAACTGTGTTTAGAATCTGATTTCACTTGTAACAGGAAGGGAATAGATAGCGGGCAAAGTCTATGGGCACGAGCTAAGATTGGCGTCAGGAACTCCAAACCAAATATGAGGAAAAATAATCTAAGCAGCGAAAAGTACAAAGAACACCTGGCTTCCAGTTCTAGGCATATGACTAACTCTGTGAGTTTACTCGTAGGCAAATTAATCCCAATCGAGGGCTCAATTATTTACCATCTATAAATTGGAAGGGGCAGATCAGATTATTCTTTTTCAAACGTCTTCCTTATTTAAGATTCTCCAAATTGAAATTGAAGGTGTCAGCATATATAGATCATCCAACATGAATTGCTGAGGTTGGTGGTGAGAGGTCCAGATTGAGGCTGATAAAGGAACATCCTAACTCTCAGGTGTTTATGAGTTCCTCATAAAAGGCTTCTTGTCACAAGCTAGCTACTTACTGTGCTGCATTAAAGACCATGTAGCTGGAGCACAGGGGAATGGAAAGAGGAGAGGGAAAGAGAAAGAAGGGTTTCTCATTCAAATGTGACAGGGGAACTACTTGACCAAGAAGAGTGTTTCTCAAACACCAGCATCCATAATAATCACCTTGGGAGTTTATTTAGTATGCAGAGTCCCAGGCTTTATTGCCAGCAACTCAGATGCAGAAGTTTCTGGTATTTGGCCTAGGAATCCCCATTTTTAACAAGTATCCTAGGCAGTTTTAATGCTAATAGTTACCTTACCCAAATTTTGAGAAACAACTGCTATAAAGAGCTAATTTACAACGTTTTTTTCCTGCAACCTCATCCAGCTGTGATTGTGAAGATGCCCATCCAAGTGCTTAATAGGCATTAACAAAACAGGAGTCTCTTGGATCAATGCCTGTGGCACCATTATTATGTTAGTATACATAAGAAAGATGGCAGACAATAACCTCAGTTTTCTACGGAGAGAGCAAAGGAATCAATAATTTTTAATAGAGAGCAAAAATTCTGTAGTGAAACATTGAATCCCTTTACATCTTTGGAGATATTAAACAAACAGATGAACTAGTCTTCTGTTTTCATTAAAGGCTGGAGGAAGGGAAGTAAACTTTCAATGATGCATGAAACCTTTGGGTAAATCACATCAAAAAAATCCTTGACTCAGTGGGTTGTGAAATGTTGGAAAGTCTCCAGGTTAGAAAATTTTCAACACACTGGGCTGATGTAGGTGTGATTAGAGGCTGAACTATGTAGCCTCTAAGACTTTCTCACTTTAGAATTTTGTTTCTAGATTATTTTACTTACAATCTCCTCATTAGAAGCAATGCTTAATATCAATGTTTATTTGCGCAACCCTTATTTTCTATAAACACAGGCTTGATTAGCAACCCAATGCCATTTAAAATTTTTTTTTAATTATTGTGGATGCTGTTGAGCACTAATTAACAGAGGAAGGCTGTCAGGAATGAGATGCACTATTATTATTAGCAGCCCCGTTTCGTTTATGAAATGCAATCACACAAATGAAGAATAACTCTGTTAAGAAAATAGGCTTCAATTTCCAGATTGCATGACAATGAAGCTCCTTTGAATATTTTGCAAAGAATCAGTCAAGGAAAACAAAAAACAAGAAAACCTGCAACTAAATGTAAAATAAATGCTCTGCTATCGAACTAGAGGAAGTCTCTATGCTTTGCGTACGATTACCGTGATTATCAGGACCCTGCCTTATGCCTCCTTAATCCACTTCCTTATCCCACCTCCATACACATGCTCACACTCACAGTCCAAATAGGAAAGTGGTGTGTTGCCCATTGACCGTCTTCATAAGAGGCATTTACCTAAAATTTCCTTTAAAACTCTGAAAGGAAGCAAGACTTTCAATAAACTGCTTTATAGGACAGAATGTTTCCACATTAAGAAAATAACCATTTCTGCTCAGCTAATTAATTGTCCCTGAATGTGGGATGGCCAATGTGGAAACAAGATCTGCAATGAGGTATTTATGATATTGGGTAGACAGGAGGTCTGAATAGTAAGGAATTCTGGAGATTATTATATTCAACCCTCAATTCTTATCGATGAGTCAAGGGAGATAATGTGACTTGCATAAGGTCACACAGGTCTTTGGTAGTAGAATATAGTTTAATGTGCCTTCTACTGCTCCCTGTTCTGACTCCCATGATTTCAAATGACTTCTAATTGTCTTAGATATCTGCTTGTATTCTTTCCTTCAACTCATTATTTTAGCTATAACATAGAACTAGCTAGACAGTTTTTTCAAATATAGATATAAAATCATGCCCTACCCTGAGATATTTTCACTCAGTAGGTTTAGGATGGAACTGAGGAATTTTCAATATTTACAAGCATATGAGGTGGTTATGGTGCAAGCACTTTGGAGCCCATGAGAAACATTGAACGGGAGTCTAAGTCACTCTCTGGGGTTAAGTGGTATGTTGACAGGAGCTCAACTAAGCTGAGAAAGCCTGCTGAGCTGCTAAGTGTCAGAGCAGCCAATGAAAGCAACAAACCAAAAATGAAAGAGTTAAGCCTTTGATTGCTTATTGTGATGGCATAAGCCAGAGTCTAAACCCAGAGAAAATGCTGACTTGCGGTCCATTTCCCCCCCCCACCGTGGAATGACGCCCCAGTCAGGGGTCAGGTGGAGCAGCACATTCATGGGGGTCATCCCACTGTTGAGGATGAGCCCAACAAAGGGCTCTGGTAGTTTTATGGACTCTGGGGTAGGGCTTGGGTTAAAGTTAGGAGTGGAGAAGTACTGGGTACTGAGTCCGAATGGGGAAAAACTGCCTTCAAGGTTTACCCCACTCCCCAGTGAGGAAGCCTCAGCCGAAGAGCCTGAAGAAGACCTCTGCCCCAGGTCTCAGATAAGGAGACTTAAGAATGAAGGCCTGGGGGTGCTAGGAATGTAAATATGGGAAGAGCTTGACCAAGGAGTCCTGAGTGCTGGACTCCAGCTCCCCGGAGAGACCATGATGCCCATCCTGTGCCCCCAGGCTGGCGTGGGCGAGCTTCCCTGCGAGGCCTGCCCGTAGCCTTTGCAATGCCTGTGAGGAGGCCTGGGCTGTTCACCAGGAGCCAGGCTCCTCAGTGTGTAGGAATGCACATTGCCTCTTTCTTGTCACCCAGGACAATTTAACCAGTATAGTATTGGGTCTAAGGAGGAAATAGCGAATTGAGCCAGATTCCTCTGAAGGTTGTTTCACAACCTAAGATAGAAACCTTGAGGACTAAACACTCGGGCATTTATGTATTAAATAATGCTTGATTGGCTTTGACAGAAACAGTGTAGGTCTCAAAGCTAAGGAAAATCTTGAGATCTTGAAAGACTAATGACTAACAGCAATAAGTTTTAAAATTGTATTAGGGCTAGTTGACACTTAGGCACATTCAGTATTTACTCAGCACATATTCTGTGCCTAGAATATTTCTGAGTGCTAGGTACACATCAAAAACAAGACTGATTAAAATCTCAGCCCTTCTCATAGCTAATTCTAGCAGGTGAGACAAGCGTTATTAATATACAAAACAAATGAGGTGCCCAGCATGTTCAAAGTTGTTAAGTGCTATATAAAGGAAAAGGTAGGCAGATACAAGGAAAAGAGGGCTCAGGAATATGTGGGGAGAATTGAAATTTTAAATAGGGTGATCAGGAAAGGCTATATCAGCATTACAGTAGACCCAACAACCCCACACATCTCTGACTTATCTTTATATTGTTGCTAAATTAATTTTATTAAGACTTGTGATTAAAGCATTTCCTTGCTCAAAAATCCTCGGCGATTCCCCGTTGCCCAAAGGATGAAGTATAAGCTTTTCCTGGCAGTCAAAGCCCTCACCTTCCGGCTCAGTGCTCCCCATCAGCTCTCCCTGCTCCGGCAAACCAGACCACTCACTGTACTTTGACCACATCCTGTAGTTCCCCCCTCGCAGGTTTTGCCCCACTCCTTCATCCTCGTTTCTCTCACTCCACTTCTTCACTTTCTACCCACTCTTCAAAGTTCTGTTCAAACACATCCTCCCAGCAAAGCCCTCTAGGTCTTCCCATCTCCAAAGAATTCACTCTCCTCCAAATTCCTACAATGCATTATGTCATGAACGCAGCATTTGAGAGATATATTATAGTTATAAAAAGACTTAGTTCTTGTACTGGATTAAGCTCCTGAAAAACAAAAACCACCTCCTTGAATATCATCCCCACAATATTCAGCATAGTGCCTGGTTAAGAGTGATCTCAAGCAGCTAAGAGTTTCTCAACACTTTTGGTATATAAAGAAAAGAGGCAAAGAGTATCTGAGTAGATGGCCAGCCCATGTCTTTAAAATCTGAGTCTTCTTAAGAAGGAAGTCAAGGCCTTATCTGTGGGTACAGAATGCTGAAAGGGCCGAGGCTGTTAATGGGCAGCAGGAGACTGGAAGACACAAAGGGGATATGCTGTCATTTTTAATTTTTGCTCCACTTAAATTTAAGTAATTAGAAATCATGGGCCAAATCCTGCACTTCTACAATCCTGAAGACAAAGTTTTACTCATAGTAAGAGCTTAACTTACATAGTATGGGGAGAAGTTTTAAGTGCTGCATTTTGAATTTTGAATGGAAGACATACCAATAGTAATAAACACTAAAATTATATAAGTACAGTTACAAAAGGGACTTCATAATCTCTGAATAGAGATGCTTATTTTTAGCACTTGCTTGTGCAAAGAAACTTCATTTTGTACCTGAAAGATATTTTGGGTCACTTTCCCTCCAGTCCAAATCTCACCTGGCGAGATATGCAGCATTTGGTGGTGTGGACCTCTGAGTATGACCCGTTGGCCAATAACCCTGGATGGAAAAAGAATGGAGCTGGCTTGATGGTGAACAGTCGATTTGGATTCGGGTTGCTAAATGCCAAAGCTCTGGTGGATTTAGCTGATCCAAGAACCTGGAAGAGTGTGCCTGAGAAGAAAGAGTGTGTTGTAAAGGACAAGGACTTTGAGCCCAGGTGAGTGTCTCAGGAATGATGAACAAATGTGTGCCCACGGCACTATGTGATATGATGTCTATCACTTTTCTCACCCACCCTTCTGAAGTAGATGGAGGTAGCATGTGCCATGTTCCCTGTGCCTCCATGAGGAATTATTGAGAGATCAAAGATCTGCAAATAACATTACGTATTTGCACTTTCCTCTCATAGCCTACCTACCATCTAGCAGTGAGTTTAAGATGCACCACTGTTTTATATACCACTAAGAAAAACCATTGCTAATTATACTATTATCACTCATCAATTTTAAGAATCATCTCAAATTTAAAGATATTAAAGCGTTTAAAAAATGCATTTTAGAATTGATGAAATACAGTTCTGGCCAACCAGCATTATCTAAAATCTCTTTCCTCAAGCGCCTTAGTTCATGCCACAGTGCTATGTGATCATGGCTTTTCTTTCATGAAAGATCCTTTATCATATTGCTTTTACATAGGCCATATCTGGCCAACCACATCTGGCCACAGAAGCAGAATCTGCTATGACTGTTTTGTTGATGCTATTGTGGCAACCATGATTATACTGAAGATCCATTCACACAAAATACCCAAGCATGGGAGGCTTGGGGGGCATGCATTAGGAAGATAAAATCATTTCTTCAGAAGATCTTCTTAAAAGGGTCTATTGCAGTAATAGACCACTTTGTGATGGGTTCCAGGCAAACCTGTCTGAATCTGACTCCATAGAAAATAGCATTATATTCAAGTGTCTGTGCTCTTTACCATTCATATTTTCTTATCTTTTTCTTGTGGTCAGAACACTTAACTGGGTTTTCTATTCTGTTCCATTGGCCTATATGTCTGTCTTTATGCCAGCGCCATATGTTTTGATTATTGTACCTTTCTAATATATTTTGAAATCAGGAATTATGATGCCTCCAGTTTTGTTCTTCTTTCTCAGGATTGATTTGGCTATTTGTGGTCTTTTGTGGTTTCATAAAAACTGTAGAAAACTTTTTTTTCTATTTCTGTAAAAACCTTACCATTGTCTATGGATTAAAAATCATTTTATATTATAGCTAATCTTGAACTGGGTTCCACTCATAATAGGGAGAGACAACAGTTTAGTTGAGTATCTAGTCAGGACTGATGTGTACATATTTGCATAAACTGCAAGGAAGAAGAGATACACTTTATTCACTGATGATTCTTTAATATATTTAGAGCCCTGAAAGCAAACGGGGAAGTCATCATCGAAATCCCAACAAGAGCTTGTGAAGGACAGGAAAATGCAATCAAGTCCCTGGAACATGTACAATTTGAAGCAACAATTGAATATTCCCGAAGAGGAGACCTTCATGTCACACTCACTTCTGCTGCTGGTAAAATTTTCTTTAAACTTCAAAAATTTCTTCTTAACCATTTATTTAAAAGTTTTAAGTGTAAATTGAATTATTTCAGATCAATTAGAGTTTTTGTTTATTTATAGGACTAAATCTCCCAATAGATATTTTCAGGTCTTAAAAAAATATGGTTTTGTTTTTTGTTTTTTTTTTTTATCAGCACTTTGTCCTGCTCATTCCCACTGGTCCTTTGATAAGCAGAGAATGAGGTCTATTCAAATAATGCCAGTTAATAAACCTTTCTGGAGTTACTCATTTTGAAACTGTGTTCATTTACCCAGGTCACTGATTTATCATTCTTTTCTCTCAGGTAACACATTAGTGAAAGCTACTCTGATAATTAATTAATAAAGCTGACAGATTAATCAGACACATCCAAAGGACTAATTAAAAAACTGAGAATTCTGATCCATGAAAGAGGGTTGAGAAGACTAACAAATTTTCCATAATGATATGATTAAGGCAATATGATATGATATATGGACATTTGCTCTTTCCTGAGAGGGTACTAATTCAGATGAGATCTTGGATGGGAAAGAACTTGTAAACACAAACCATAATCCAACCAAAAGAAGCTGTCCCAAAACTCTTTCATGTTGTAGTAGGATTCAATCTCTGACTAAATTCAATCTCTACAGGTGATGTATGAGGAAAGATATTCTATCTCTATAATCACCTTCCAGGGTATGAACTTCTTAAGAGGTTTGGAGTAGGCTCTGTTAATTGACCTGAAATATTGGTGGGATGCTTTTTCATTGATGGCCCTATAGTTCATTTGACCCTTTCAATTAGAAACATTATTTATTGATCTATAGAGAGCTTGGTTTTGCAAATTTAGAGTTACTCCTACTACCAGTTTTTTAATGACAAGAGATTATTAAATTAATGTAGCTTAATTTTTTATGTCTACACTCGATTATAGACTCAGGCACCTATTAAATTTTCAAAATTCCCCCTTAAGTTTCAAAATGATAGTTCCATTAAAATGTATTTTAGGTCTTTGACTCTCTTCTTTAATGTAGTTTGTAAATGTAGTTTTCTGAGTTCTCCTTATTCAAATAAAACTTAATCAATATACTCACTCATTTATTTTTCCACAATATTTATTGAGAACTTATTATATTCCTGGCAATGTGCAAAGTACTATGGATAATTTTTTTTTCATTGTGAATATCTCTATCCTGGTCTTATGCTCAAATAGAAAATTTGGAGGATGAGTCTCTCCAGGTTTCATTTTCATTTTCAGATGCGAGAGTGTGTCCTACTATCATAACTGTTAGGACTTTCATTAACTTATGTTTGTTGCATGAAAATAGGAACCAACACAGTTCTATTGGCTGAAAGAGAGCGGGATACATCTCCTAATGGCTTTAAAAATTGGGACTTCATGTCTGTGCATACGTGGGGAGAGAACCCAGTAGGCACCTGGACTTTGCGAATTACAGACATGGTAAGTATGAATGAAAGGCTGCAGAAACACAAGCTTACTTTTAAACACTTTGAAGGAGTTTGAAGGTTGTTGTCATTGTTCATCAGGGCCCTAAGGAACTTTGGGCACTCCTTAGTAGAAGTAAGGAAAAGGTGTAGTGTTTTAAGTCCTGCCCACTTGGCTGCATAGATTTAAAAAAATAAAAAATGTTAGGCACTGGCCATAGAATAAGGAAAAGAAGATATTCTGATACACACTGTGACAGACTGGGGCAATCCAAGTGTTCCCCTGTCAGAATATAGCCAGCTACGTGACCTACTCAGCCACCAGAATGAGCAGTATTCACAAACATAGTCAAATGCTAGACCAGCTTTGCTATGCCGCCCTGCTGGGTCACATGACGGAACTTTACAAATACTTCCTGCTATTGAGAAGTAGCTTTCTATTTTATATCAAGTCTACAAATTGTACTTTACACTTTTAGATTTTTTTGTTGATATTTTAGATTTCAGCACATTATTTTTAACATAGTTATTGAGCCTCTGAAAAGTATTACCGTTCCCATAAATATATGGTTTTTACAGGCTGATTAATGCTGGAGGCTATTTATAATGCTCCAGAGAAGCTGATTTTTTTCCCCAGTGGAATGTTTCTGCAAGTTGATAATTGGTAAATATAATTCTATTCTTAGAAGTTACAAGTCAACTTTTCAAGAACACACCCAATACAGAAAAGGATGTTCATTTAGAAGAGTTCTTTTTTAATTAAATGAAGCAATTAATCAGTGTTTAAATCCTTCAGCCTGTAAACTGTCAATTTTCATAGAAAGAGTGAATCCATTGATTGACTCCTTTGTACACAAGGCTCTACACATGGAATGCACAGAATTTTAAAAGTACATTTTAACTATGAAACCCTTTGCAGCTGTTTTGAAGGAGCTTGTTTTACGTCACTCAGAACATACTCTGAAAAAAAAAAAAAAGAACATACTCTGAAATTATGTGTACTTATTTCCCAGTCCGGAAGAATGCAAAATGAAGGCAGGATCGTGAACTGGAAGCTTATTTTGCACGGGACCGCTTCTCAGCCAGAACACATGAAGCAGCCTCGTGTGTACACGTCCTACAACACCGTGCAGAATGACAGAAGAGGGGTGGAGAAGGCGGATTTGGGGGAGGTCTGTGCTGCTGTGTTCTTCTTGGCATGCCCTTTTTTGAATTGTAGACTACAGAGTGAGTGAAGCTGCCCCTGACTTTAAGGCAGGGAGTGAGTCAAACATGGATGGGGAAGAAAGAGACTGGGCGTGGTCAAGTGTTTATTTCCCCCCTAGGATGAAGCCCTATTGTTTCATTCACCTATTCTTTCATCTAGGATTTGGATATTAAAATTAATGAATTCAAAATTATTAAATTCTCTAGCATGAATTCCATTCCATTTGTCATAGGGAAGGAGACCACTTACACTCGTATATACATAATCTCATTCAGTCTTCAAAACCACCAGAAATGGAGGTATTCTTATTCCCATGTTATAGGTAAAGTCAGGGAGATTAAAAAGGTGCCAAGAGCACATCAGTAAATGGAAAACTGAGCACTGAAACCTGAGTTAGTGTGACTCCAAGCCTAGTGCTCTCTCTACCCACCAAACTGCCTCTCGGGAGCAGGCGGTTGGCATGTGTGGCAGCTGGCCTGGCTGGCGCTCGATACTGAGCCTAATTCCCTTTGTTGGTGGCATTCTGTGTTTCAGGATCATCCCGCAGAAGACAGCCTGAAGGAGAACGCCCCAACTGTCAAAAGTCTCAGCGGCAGCAGTGTGAGCAACAGAAGAGACCAGCTGGAGGAGGAGGGAGCCCCGTCGGAGGCCATGCTGCGGCTCCTACAAAGTGCATTCAGCAAAACCTCACCACCAAAGCAATCACCAAAGAAGTCTCCAAGCACAAAGCTCAGCATCCCTTACGAAAATTTCTACGAAGCCCTGAAAAAGCTGAACACACCTTCCCAGCTTAAACACACTGAGGACAGTCTGTACAATGACTATGTGGATGTTTTCTACAACACGAAACCTTACAGGCACAGAGACGACCGGCTGCTGCAGGCTCTGGTGGACATTCTGAGGGAGGAAAATTAGAAAAAAAAGTCTGTGGTCTTGAGTTGGGAGTAGTCATGCTTCTTCCTTCCCCGTAGCGTTTGCCTGTGTCTGAAGTGGTTGTTTCCGTCATTGAGTCTTATGCTTATAATATCCTTTGTGGTACTTTTCTTTCACTTCCCCAACTGGACATTTGGAAGGGATGAGCTCAAATAGGAAATCCAGCTTCTTGAATGGATCACAGAGCTTTCAAAGCACGTCTTCCCTGCCTACACAAGTAAAATGGCAGTTCCTTCGGAGCCACAGCTCGCACGTGGTCCGCGTACCACATTAAAATGCTTCTGTGGGCCTTCTCATTTAATTTCTCACAATAACCAGGGCCATAGGTTAATTTGGAAAAGTAACCCGCTAAGGATGAGAGGAAGGAAAGCTGTTCTGATAGCTTGTCCCCTGCCTTTGCTCTGTAGTTCTTTGAACTTTGATGCCAAAGAAGGCTTTGGAAAGTCTCTGATGAAACGAGTTCACAATTAGATGCATACCCTATCTTTTCTATTCCAGAGTAGTACTTATTCAGGAGTGATCATCTGGTCATTTGGGGGAAAAGCTGGGTTATTTAGATCCAGAAACAGACAGTAAAATCTGCGTTTTCTGGTTGGAGCATTTTTAGGACATTATTCTTTGCTTAGTGTGCCATGTATGTATCTAAAGGTGACTGAGACCCATGCTGTGTGCTCTAGGTCTTCCTCTATTTCCCCTTCTGAAGGTTTTCCTCACCTGTCTCCTTTCTCAGCCACAAATTAAGTACTGCGAGAACTAATTTATACTACTTTCTTAGAACAAACTTACATGTGGGACTTGCCAAATTGCTAGTCATCTTTTTTTTTTTTTAGCAATAATAACAGAAAACCACTCATAACATAGAGAACCAATAAAATAACAGGGAAATATTCATAAAGGGAGAGCCAATGGGAGGTTTTGTTTGTTTTCAAAATTGTATTCAAAAGAACAAGTTTTTCTAGATCTTTGAAACTGAGTGTTCATTCCTTGACACTAACGGTTCTTCCCCAATCTGAGAGCTGACAGTATCCAAATTCTCACCAAATTGCTTCCAAGCTTCAACTCAGAGGACACAAGCTGGCAGCCCATGGGCCACATTTGTCTCTCAGGTAGATTTTATTTGGCATGTAAAATGTTTTTAAAAATGTGAGTGATTATTGAATAATCAGATAATCTGAATAGTCAGATTTCACATAAAGCCTGATTCTCAGGCCCATGTTCCCTCATGGCAACAGTTGCCTGGAGCTGAGTAGCAGCTGCACAGCTAAACTTGAGTACCAGGTCCCCAAGGCACCCTGCTCCACGCCACTTACGTGGGGCACCTCACTGTCAGCACTTGAGAAGCATTTTATTTTGCCCACTCCTCCACTAAATGAACATGCATGAAGTGTAAATGCATTAGGAAAAAAAGATTCTCAACTTCTTTCAGGCAGGATCTGTCTGATAATCAATCATAATGAGAATTTGCCATGATTTAATTATTGGTCCCCAAAATGTTATTTCAGACTCCCGAAAGTACCTCTGATATGTAGTTTGATGCATTCATTCACTATCACCTCATGTGGATGCTCATCTGTACTAATTCATTAACTGCCACCCCCCTAGCTTCCCATTCTCTATATGCTCACGAAGACTCTGGTCCCCCATGATGCTGGCACTCTCTCTTTGGGTTTGCTATCTGCAATTCTTCCACAAAGTTTGAACTTCATCAGGCCACACATGAACTAGACCAGGAAGAGAACACTAGTCTATCGCTTTAGTTTGAAGTGTGGTTAGTAAGATAAAATTTCATCCCCTGGACTACTCTATATGAATTTGTGCAGAATACAGTTATTTCTAGAACAGTATCCATGATGCTTTGAGGATGTTCTCCTAAAAAAATTGTAGTATCACTCTGTCCTTGGAAGTTTCACATATTGTTTGATACAGAGTGTTGGATAGAATTTTGAAAATTGCAGCACATGGAAAAGTATTAAAGCTGAAAAGGACCAGAGAGTGATTAGATAAATTTTCAACTAAAAAGCAAAGCTAAGGCCCAGAGAGGCCAATAAATAGTAATAACAGAAAACTCACCCTTTCCCCATTCTTAGGCTAGTGCTAATTGTATGAAGCTTTCTTTTTCATGCTTCTAATAGTTTCTCTTCCTGGTTAAAGCCCCAGCCAACTCATTGGATTGTCACCAAAGGTTCATTCTAGAGAAGCTTTAATACTTAAATAAAGTCATGTTTGAATGTTTCCAACCTGGAATATATTGTTTAGGCATAAAATATTTTTGTTAGTCTTTCTTAGTGACTGTGTTAATTTCTGTGAAAATGTAAAAGAGGAAACTTATATAATCCCCTCAAAATTTTAAACTATATTTTCTTTACAGGTATTTATAATGTACCAATGCTTTTATCAAACAGAATTTTAAAAGGCATAATATATTAAAGAACCAAAATTTTCCTGAGAATAAGAAAGTTTCATCCAATAAAATATTTTTTGAAAGGAATGTTCCTCTGTCAGTAAAAAAAAAAAAAAAAAAAATGTATGTGTTGTGATATTAAAAGTGACATTTGTCTAATAGCCTAATAATACAATGTGTAGCTGAGTTTAACGTGTGATCTTAGCATTCTTAAGGGAACTCCCACATTATACACTTGATGTATTAACCAGAAAATGTACAATATGCTTATAAATCAGAAGAATAAATGATTCCTCATTAAGTCGAAAAGAAAAAAAGCTCATGTTTCCAACAAAAATAGGATCTCCTCTTATTGTGTTTCCCAAATAAACTGCAAAAAAGAACAGTGGAAGGTTTACATGAAGATGTTAATTCTTTTTTAGAAAAATGGGCTTTCTCAAAGGCAACTTAAGAATCTACTTGAATAGGTATATTTCATTTTTGTTTATAACTCAATCTTTCACTTTCTGACAACATAAAAAGTTGTATGAGTGAGCCTTAACTGAAGTGTTGAGAAAAAAACCCTAAGCGGATTTACTACTACTATAAGAGAGAGATGATTTGCAAGAGTTCACTAAACATGACTTTGTTTATAGGCCAGATTATAGCACCTAAGCATTAAATCCTTCCCAGAAGCCCCCAATTCCCAACTTTGATATCCTGCCCTCAGACCCACTTTTCTCTCTTGCTTCAAATCCCCATCCCTGTAATTTCCACCCACCATTTCAGAATCTGACCTTCCTATCTAGCGGTGTTGGTTTCCTTCAGACTCCATTTCTTTCTAGTAAGTCGTAATTATTCAGTCAAACTAAAATACTCATATTTTTTTCAAGAATTCCTGAAGGATTGTTCTAACCAGCTTTCGTCCTCCACATTCAGCCATCTTTAAAATCGTCCCACCAGGAGGGTTGAAGATATGTCTCTGTCTTCCTCTGAATGCCTGTTTGGTAGCTATTAGATTAACCGTGTGCAAGCTTCAAGTACAAACACAAGTATACACTTTTGTCCCAAGGATAAACCTTAATTCCTAAATACAAATTTGAACCCATAAGGAAGAAGAATAATGTTTTCTAAACTGCCTCATAATTTTGCAAGGCTATAGCACTAGCACACATGATGATGATGGTTATTCACGCCATTCCGTCTGCCCTGTGGACAGTACTTTCTTGGCCCATTAATATTGACCTTGATCATGTGATTCACTTTTGTCAGTAGAATATTAATGGAACGGATGCAAGCAAGAGCCTTAAATGGGCTTGAACAGTTTGGCTTGGCTCTTGCTTTTCAGCGAGCCCATGCTATGAGAAAAGCATGCTTAGGGAACTACTGCTCTTTCAGCCTGTTTGCAGAACAAATGTATATGCAGCAGACTCACATTCTGGAACCAAATCCAACCAACTCACAGCACGAAACAGAGCTGCCCAGATAAATGCCGCCTAAATAAGCTGAACTTGTTATCTTGGCAACTTGTGAATACACGAATAAATGCTTATTGTAAGCAACTGAGTTTTGGGGTAATTTGTTACATAGTCTTACTATGTCACAAAAACTCACTAAGAAAACAGAAGTTCTGTTTGTTCATTCTACTGCCAGTACCACCCGTTTCCAATTGTGCCTTGTTGAGCCTATAATCCAAAAACAGAGCCAGTATTAAACCATACACCTCTCAATGCTGATCCCATAGCTAAACAAAGACCCTGCCCAAGCTTTGAAATTTTCATTTTTAAAGGTTTGTCTTAGCTTAGCTCCTCCGGAAAGCAGAGCCTCAGGTAACAAATGACTTGTATACAGGTAGTTTATCCAGAGATAAGACCTGACAGCAGAAATGATGTACATATACCCACAGGGAGATGAAGTAACATTGACCAGCACAGGACTTCCCAAAGGCTAGAATGGTTAATTCACCTGATAATGTACTGGTAGAAGATAACTCAGAACAAACACCTACGCTTCCCCCAGTCCCCCATCTTCACCCCATCCAATGCCTTGAAACTCCATTCACCTCTCTCAGAAGTTAGATGCAACCCCTAGGATAAGGAAAGAAAACTTGATTGGCTAAGATCAAGTTCACACCACTTATTAGAAAGGCAACTCCTAACAGAAACAAAGTTCTGTTATAAAAAATGAAGTAAGTTTTGCTCACCTGGGTTTTGGCTTGCAATTTTTACATTTGTAAAATTCATATTGCCTGTATTGTTGCTACATATAGATATTACATAAGCATTGCTCTATCGTCAATGTATGGACAAGGAGGTGGCTGCAGTCATTATGGAATGCTTCTTGGATATCTAAATTTTGAACCAAAAATTTTAAGATAAGAGGGATTTGCAATGAAAGAGAAATGTATGGGTTCTTTCAAGTTCTGTTGCCAAAGGGAACCAAATGAAGAAAGCCCACCTGTGAGATCTTACCCATCTCAGCAGAGCTCTCACAGGTGGATCAAGCCTGTCTGGTTTATCTGAACACCTGCTCCCTGGCCCTGGTCTTTCTGTACCAGCATTCACTAAGCTTCCATGACATGAATGAATGGCCCAGAATCTGCTACCATATTGTTATGATGCTATTTTTACTTAGAAACCAAAAAGCCACAAGATTTAAATTATCAATTAGCTAATGTAAATCATATTGTTCCAATCATTAAAGGAGGGGAAGTCTGGAAAAAAAAAAAGTCTTTGTGTTGGCAAGAGGTGTGGGCTCTTGAAAGAGACACAAGTGCATTTGAATCCTGGCTCTGCCATCTCCTAGCCGTGTGCCTTTGCACAGGTTACTTCACTTCTCTAAGCCTTATTTCCTCATCTACAACAGTGTCATCTACCATTAATAGCTTTGCTGTTAGGATTAAATAAGATAACATAGGTAAATAATTTATTGTTATGGTAATTTATGGTTCAGTTCCTATACCCAGTAAATATTCAGTAAACGTTGGTTTCTAGTACTAGTGAGATCATTGTTCTTCTTATTATTGTGGTATTGTGAAAAGAAAGTGGAATTTAGAGCCAAACAGATTTAAATCTGTAGCTCTTAGCTACAAATTCAATAAAGGAGAAAATATTAGAATCAATGAGGAAGAGGGAAATAAGGTAAACTGTCACTAGTCATGATGATGTTGCCTTGGGAATTGGCATTACCAAGTGAACCACACTGGAAATCATTTAATTGGAGCCAGTGTAGACCAGCCTTAAATGAGACAGGAATTTTCAAAGAGCAGTTACGCAAGGCCACAGACAGCCAGAGGTGACCAGTGAAGAGAAAAAAGATGATAAAAAAGGAAATCATTTGTATAATTTTGTCTTATGTCTGATCATGTTTTGTGTAATAAGTTGGAGTACCAGTTTTCAAATACAAACGTTTTAGAAAGCATTGAAAAGCGTTGATATTGACAACAATGACAAACAATGAGTTCTTAAGTATACCCGTAACACAGTGCTTGGTTTAACTGAATTCTCACAAGAATTGTAAAACAAACAGGAGATAAAGAATATATCGTCCCAATTTGTAGATCAGTAAGTTGTGGCAGTGAAAGGTAATATGGCTTGTTCAAGGTCACACAGATAGCAAGTAGTAGAGTCGAGATTTTAATCTAACAGTTATTCTAGAATCTAGGCTAATGCCTTACATTAACAAGACAAAAAGATGACATAACATGTTAAAAGATATTTATAGTATGGGAATCAAATGACTACTGTGTGTCTTATACAATCAATTCTTTTCTGCTTATTGAAATAATAGAAATAGCTTTATTAGTTGAATATTTATGATATGTTAAGCATATATATTTTATATATTTAAAATGAGATAATAATTCATGAGAATAAGACATATTATTTCTAATGCTTGAATTATTCTGCAAATGAAGTATTTTTACAGATAAAAACTGAGATTCATGGACGTTAAGCCAGTTGCCCAAAGTCACACAGCTAAGTCAGGATTTTAAAACTGATCTATCTGACCCTATGTTTTCACTATGCCACACCGTTTCACTTTTTAGCTTCACTTCCAAATTTTTCAAACTGATGCCTTACTAGTCAATCTCATATTTCAAGAAACAACAAGATAGATTTTTATAATGCTTCTTTACTGCAAATTTAAGAAGCCACAATAAATTTAAAAGTGAAAGGGGCAGTTGTCCTTATCAGTCATCATTCCTTGATTTATCTTGAAATGAACCAAAGCTTTTCTCTTAGGGGAGCAACAGGCCAACCTGATAACTCAGGCATCTTTTGGATCAAGAATCAACCCCATATGAATTTATGTGTAGTGCAGACCCAAGGCTGCCGAAACATATTGATAATCAGGACATTGCAGTCTGGGCACCAACTCTAGGAGTTTTTTTCTATGATGGGCCATTTTATTTCTCTCCTCACTCCTTGGTCCTCTTGCCAGATGCTAATGTGTCTTTTTTTTT